TTCGTTACAATTATAATATTCGTTTTAGTCATTTATTTTTATGCTAAATTCTTCAGAGTTTATCATTGTTTATGGTCATCTTGATATGATTATACTTTCTAGAAATTTATTTACATTGTTCTATTTTGTACATATTTTGACTTTTTTTCATTGATATATATTTAATGAAGTACTACACATGACGTCTGTCTATTATACAGCTATCTATCTAAGCCTTATCCTCACGTACGGTACTCTGTCTGTCCTGTGTACCATAATGGTGATCAACGTCCATTCACGGCCGGACGAGGAGTACATTCCAAACTGGTTAAGGCGTGTCACCATATCCGTCTTCATGCCAATGGGTTTCTGGAAAGGAAGCTGTAGTCCTAGTGGGTGCTGTAAAAAGAAGGTGGAACCCAAACAAACGAAGACTATCAACGTTGTGTCTGGTATGAATGGTTCTATTTTATAAGTGTATTGAGATATCAAAAACAAAATGGTTTAGCATTGATAACAGTTAAAATGAAAATCAATCAACTTTTCATTTGGGAAGTTTAAGAGTCTACAAATGGTGTCTTTTTAACTCTTTTTAATTCCCATGGTTTTATGTCGTCTTTTTGTTTGGAATGTCCTCGTGATTTGACACTTCGGCCTTCATTTTATGCTACCTTGACCGCAACAAATAATTGCCAAATAGAAAAATAATCCCAATGACAATTATTTACAATTTGATGCCAAGTTTAGGCACTTATAACAAGCAACATCACAATATGCCAATCAGCCTAGCATGAAACATCATAAAGATAAGTGTGTTGTTTTATTGTTACTTTTTCATGAGCCAAATAAAATATTAAATAAATTATTTTGATCAATAACAAATCTCTAGATACACAAGTACTTCATAACACTTATCATATGTGTAGTATTACCAAAACAATTCTCATATTTTATTAATGATATTAAAAAACTTAACTTAAAGTTCAGCTCTAGCGTTTTTCCAACATTGCGTAATTTGGTAAAAGAATACAAATAGGTGAAATTGTTTCAATATCATTTAGCACATTGAGTGGTTTCCGAATTCTCATTGAAATAATTGTTCTCATGCCAAAACTGGTTAACGCATGTTATTCTCATATTTGCTGGTGAATATCTCCCTTCTCTTTCAACATTATCCTTTGCTAGCCCTCGTACCTTCACAAAGTTCATGAATCTTTCATATATAGCAATATCTATTTTGTCATTCGTAAATCATTAGTATGGTACCATGCATTCTTATTCTGTATTCTTGATGAAAGAGAATTTTAATATATCTAATTAGCAGCAAAGTGGCAAGGAAGTCATTCCAATAGTGAAGACAATTTGAGGTTGCCAATTGTTGGAGCAAATTCATATTGTCTACACTATTGGAATAACTTCCTTGCCTCATATACCAATTTTAAGTAATTCGTTTCCTACAAACATACGTTTACAAGGATCTAGTGTTAAATCGGAAGTTACCCTTGATATTACTTCTTTGAACCATATAATAATAAACATAATGTATATGCAGTAATTTCATACGATTTTACACACACCAATGGTTTTGTCTTATCGAAACGTAGACGTTTTTGCGCTGTTTTTTCTTGACAACATTCCTTTCCTAAACAAGCCTTTTAGTCAATGAATTTCTATGTAAACGCCATGAGAACATGCACATCCACAACTTAGAGAATAATCTTACACATGTTATCTCTGTCTTATAGTCTCCAAGATCAAGTTGGACGTCAATGAAAAGTCCATGTCTGTTGTTGAGGATTACGATTCGGCCTCATTGGAAAGCAACGATCATCAACTGTCCTGGCAGATAGTTTCCCAGGTCCTGGACGCTATGTTCTTCAATGTGTTTATGTGGGTCATTGTCCTCACCTCCATCGTCTTCTTTGGCATTCTATCGAACGAGTTCGCCAATATCTAGTGGAGCAGCCGAGGAGTACTACCCCAATCTCTGCGTTTCGTCTCAGATAACGTTATAATGCTGATACTGCATGTGCTGATATATGCATTTTTTGCGACTTTCGGATACATTTTGTATTATATGAAAATTGTATTTTGATATTATATGCAATGCGTGAAATCAAGCTTCGTTGACTTTATGCTACAAGTTTGATTACTTTTGAAATGAAATCGATGAATGATTTAATGGGTTTTTTAAACATGACGATAATTGTATACGTCATTATCAATGATAAATATTTTTATATATAACACAGAACTCTGTCTTGAACTTCTAAAAACAAATAGGACCTGTTGGCGTTGACATAATGTCAATTAGCATCACGTCATAATTAGATAAAAACGTTCAGAATCTCAAATAATGTTTGAGCAATTTTGATCGTGTGATCGAATTTAATCATATGAATCGGAAGCTTAAGCAAACATATATGTTACCGTTAGGTCTGTATAATATATTTGGTCTATATACCTCATTAATGTTCTAAACAGCACAATGATCAGAACATCACGTCAATCAAACAAGAGACGTAATAGGTATATCACATTTAGAAAAGGGGCGGTAAATGTCGGCAAACTTCTCTCGAAAATAATAGAGAAGGGATATAAGTCGGCACCAAGTAACTGGTTATCCGGCATATCTTATTAGCTGTATATCAGATTAAACAATTAGATTGATGAAAATTATGTTTATAATCGTCATGCCAATTAGGATATTAGGAGAGTGTCTCTGGAAAGGTTGAGTTCACTTGACTCACTAACGTGAACTACTACCTTTCCAAAGTAGTCGTACATATTGGACTGTTGTTGTCATTATTAGTCTTACCATTTTGGGATAATGGCTAGATAGTATGACAACATTATTTGTATTTGTTGCTGGAAAATAATAATTAATACTTTATCACATTCAATGCTATATTCATTTATTTCATGCTGCAGATTTGTAACATGCAACAAATAGAAATTACAGAAAGAAAAATAGATATTGATCCTATAACTTTGTATACTGTAAACTAATTTGATGTTGCAATCATTATTGACGAAGTGTCGAATTTGCGATTTTGGAAGAAACACTCCATACATACTTTTACGTTATTTTAACTTGATATACCTATCTATTTTTAATTAATTTGAAAAACAAGAAAATGCAATAATATTAAAACCAGATGAAAACAATTGTTCGTGGTATACCGTGTTAGACAAACAGACCTTTGACAAATATTATCGTTGACCTGCTTACCTTCTCTATTGGAGATTTGTGTATTGTACCGTCACGTAAAATGAAAATGTTTATTTCAAAGAAACATATTCCGTCTTTGCGTATTGCAGAGTTATCTTCTCTT